ACCTTTACTTATCGTTTGTCAAACAACTGATTTTTAAATGTGAGAACGGTAGTCAGTAAACCCTATGGCCTATATTATAGGTACCTTTACAGACTACAGAAATGGTAGTCCTCGCTATATTATATGATGTTGGAAAGAGCCAAATATTAATTTTGAAAACTACTTGCGGGTCAGGAATATTTTTTTTATTTAGGATATTATTTAGTGTAATGATAATAGTACATTTAAAAAATATGTACATTTTAATTAAATTATTTAATTTATCAGCATAATATAAAAACAATGATTATTGTATGATTGTATTTATTTATTATTTGATTATTTAACTCTACTTTTAATAGACTCACACTTTTAATGTGGACAAGAAAAAATTTTTAGTGAAACACGTAGTGGATATCACTACTACCTAACTGATCTACAGTTTAAATTCGATTGTAAAACAATATATCTCTTACTGTATACGTCTAATTACTTGATAAGACTGTGGTTTACTAGTTAATGCTAAGACTTACTGTTTTTACTCAGTAAATACTGAAAATTAAAATTTTATACGAACAAACTGAGTTATGATTAACAAAAAATTAATATTATTTATTATGAAAACAAATTACTGGAAATTATTTAAATTTAAAAAAAAAATAATTATTTATTTACACACGATGGACTATTTAAGTTAAATAAAAATGTATATTATTATAAAAAATGTATTTTATTCTTTATAAACTCATTATTTGTAAGAAAAAAAAAATATTATTTATTTATTTATTATAGCACCTACTAGTCCTACTATTACATAATATATAATAGTAATTGCATTTTTAGTAGTCGCACAATCACATGAGGTAAATGAAGAAAACCTAGCGAACCACAAAAATCTTTGTTGAACTCTCTCTACTTGATAGTTAATACACAATATGCGAACTTAAAATAAAAGTGCCATACTCTAGTATTGAACAGACCAGTGTACAATAAAGTACTTTAATCATATTATTCATCATATACATCCTATAACGCTGTTATTAACGCCTTAGATGTTATATGTACTGTATGTATTATATTATCTTAAAATATTATTAACATAATAGGGTGTGAAGTCATTGGCGAGCACAGAGTTTGGCTTTTATATAGGTGTAAAACAAATTTGAGTGGTTGGCCCCCGCAAAAATTTACGCCTACGATCGCGAAAAATAATCACTCAAAAATCATACAAATTTAATTAGCTGGCGGGCGGGAAATGCGCTTTTGCTAATGTTCAATACTACTAGCTGTGGGTACGTACTCATTACCATAATAATACCAACACATCGTAGGTATCGCTCAAATAATAACGGTAAAACGTGAAATATCGAATTACGACTACAAAATGGACCTGGGCCGGGTCTCGCGTCATCGTACAGTGTAACCTTCGGGTGCCGCCGCCGCAGTTGCGTAAAATGACATGGTCACAATCGTAACGATATGCGAATATTCCCACTCCCTTAGCCTACCGCAATAAACGGATACAGACCGACAGACGGACGGTCAAATAAAGGTAGACACCGAATAATAAAAATAATAGTAATAATCATCGCAAGATGTCGGTCGCGAAACGCTCGAATAACGGTGAATACCACTATCGTTTAGACCACGACGTGTGGTAGGAGATCTAACTTTTTTTTAAAAAAGAAAAATTTTTGGATCTCATGGTTCCGCGCGCGTACGAAAAATCGCGGTCACGGGCGAGGTTTGCTCGATTGTATGTATATATATTTATACGAACACATAGGTTATGAGATATTTTACGTGCAATTCGTCGCTTACGAAAAAAACTGTTACCGCATACATAATATAACGAGTGGTTGCTCGAGGGCATAACGTCACATATATATTATGTACAGAGTGGTTCATGAAAAAAATTTTTTCTTTGATCTTAATGAGTTTTCTTGCAGGTTTTTTTCACATTTTAGCCATTGTAAAAAAATATGTTTTCTAAAATAAAAGACCGTTTGCTTTTTCTCATAAACACCAAACTCTAATAATAATATACTGTAGAAAACGCGGATTATCGTTAAAAATAATTAGAATAAAAAATCTTTAAAAAGGTAATCGCAATTATTTTTAGTAAAATATTTTCCTGCAAATATCGCACAAAAAATTAACGAAAAAATATTGTAATCCGACACATAGATCACTCTGTACATAAGCGTATATAGTACGTGCATGATGTGTTCACGGCGACTGCGTATTTACGAGACGTCTCGCATTTACTCGGATGATCGGGCGCACGTGCAAATAGTATCGGTTTGAGAAAACGTTATGTGCAAAAAAAAAAAAAAAAAGATATAAATAAAACCCACCGAAAATAGTTTACCGTTACCGGTCTCATGGTCCTACGCCATTAAAAATGTCGGTCTGATACAACCTCGAATGTCTAGAAAACTACATGAATTGTAGTAACAGTACATAACCATATAACTTCATAAAAAATATGTATTATGTTTGGGCATTTAATGGTCAATAGAATATCGTATTAAAACGTGCGTTCGTAAAGGACACAAACAATATTTCCTAGAGAGGGGATTAGAAATCATTGTGTTTAATTATTTCACTAATTACTAATACACCTATAATAAATATATGACTATAGTCTATAAGTAAATGAAAATTAAACATATACTTTTAACTTTTAAGTTTATACCATGGTGTATTATTTTCATGATGAGGTACCGATTTGGTCAATTAATTACGTATTAATAATAATTATAATAATAAAATTAAAATGAGTATATTAGTGTCAACGCCACAGAATTTTAACGTCTATATTATTGCATAATTTGATTTGAATCGGTGAAATATTGTACGTGAAATCACATATTATTATGTCATAGAATTTTATCAGTGTTTTTCAGGGGGAATACAATCAATAAATATCGACTGATTAAAGCATGCCTGTTAGATAAAATTAGTAGAACATGATTTGGATAAAATTATAAATATACATACTAAGAATGCTTGTTTTGATATAATTTTAAATTTTTTACACATTGACCAATTGTATAATGGTATATAGTATGTGGTATAGCCAAAAAATGAATAGGCACTTGCGTGACTAAAATAACTATTAAAAATACAATTTTGGTGATACTAGTATTGTAAAATCTCCCACATTTATAGTAATCAAATTTTATGGAATATTGCAAAGCTGCATATATTTAAGTAAAAATTTTAAGTTAAGTTACTTTTAACTACTTTTTTTAAAAGTAACTAATAGTTTAACAAATTATATGTATACTTCTAATATAGTTAATATAAATTAAAAATATATTTTGTTTTATAAAAATTATAAATGTTTTTATAGAAAAAATAAATAATTGGAAAAAATTATTAATTTTGTTTTAAAAATGTACGTTAAATTTTATGTAGATCTTAAAATTAAATAATAACTGTCGAATTATGAATTGTTCACTATTTTTAAATTTCAATAAGGATCAAAATAATGTATATAAATGCAAGTATGCAACTTTTTGAATTTTCATAAAAAATGCAATCTTGCACAAACATTTTAATTTCAAGTCTTACAACAGTAACACTACCAGATAAACCCAAATAAACTTTTAAAGTAAAATATTAAAAAAATTAATTAAAATAATTTACAACAATTAAAATTGTTCTATTATTGGTTTACCTTATTTTTCGTTATTTTCCTGTAAATTACTTCTGAAGTCTTGTATTATTTAATGTTTAATCACTGTACAATAAATAATAATATTTTTATCAAATTATTCTCCATGACATAAATCATTAATATCCAGATTAAAATATTTTTGATGGATTATTGACTAATTAATTTTTTTTAGATTTAGTAAGAGGTAAAAATATTTAGTTTACAGAAATTTTTTTTTTATATAGGTATATATAGCTAACATTATCTTTTGAAGAGGTAAAAATGCTGAGTGTAGTTTTTGTTAGAAAATTAGATCTTATTGATATTTTGGAAAGGTCAACAATTCTAAGTACATTTTCAAAATAATCGAGAAAACTAAAAAAAAATAAGAATAATTTAGCAAAACTAGTTTTCGATAAAATCATACACAATTTTTGTTTTTATATTGTAGGTACTTCAATAAAAAATAACACTGGTCTTAAAAATGTCATAAAATATCTACTTTAGCATTTTCTTGACATAATTTAATTTTATTGTCAAACATTTTGTCTTTTTGAGTTACTTTATAGACATTTAAAATTTTCTAGTTATTTCAATTTTTTTTTTTTTTTTGTGCGATTTAATTTTGTTTTTTGTTGTTGTTGAAATACTTAATATAAAGTTCATATCTCAAACATAAAATATCAAGAAAATAGTTAAAATTTTTTTTTACAAGTGTTCAAATTAAAAGTTCAATGTTTGAAAATTTGTATAACATTATTAACAACTCGTGTATAAAAATGTATTACATATATGTCTTCATAAAAGTTTTTTTTTACTTATAAAAATTTATCTTAAGCTTAAAAATCTTATACAAGGTTGTTCGTATGTTATACATTAGTTAGACGGAGACAATACATGTGGTTACAATATTTTTTTAAGAGAATAATGAATTAACACTTTTAACTATATATATATTAATGTAATAAAATAAAATAAAGATTTATTAAAATTAAACCATTTAACTTATTGTATTAGTAATTAATATGCATAGTATAAATTAATAATTAATAGTATACACTTTAATTATATACACAGTTTTATTAAGAATATAATAAGCAAAAATAGTTCAACAACTAAAAACATAATAATAAAAACTAATAATATTTTTTTAAAGTTACAAGGTATATTGATGCACATCGACTCCTTTCGCTACTTTTGAAAATTCCTCTGCTATCAATACGTAAGTTACAGATTTTTTTATTATTAAATAATCACTTATAGAATTATCGACATTTATTATAAATTGCGATAATTATCTAACACTTATTATTAGCGTCTTAACCATTTTTCTTATTACTATATTATTTAGTTTTCTTCATTTTAAAACTACTTGTGATATAGATACGGTCAAATCTGTCGATGCATCTGCAAGTACCTCGTCAGTTTTTTTACTATTAAACAATACTTCACATACATCCAAAGGGCAAAGCATCTGAGAACCCATGTGACTAGATTTGTGCCTCTTAAGTTTGTCTGTTTGTGTGAACGATCTGTCACATAAGTCCCGCGCAAACGATCTTTCACCTGTGTGCGTCTGCCGGTGCTTATTTAGTTCTTTCTTAAAGATAAATGACATTTCACATACATCACACGGGTATGGTTTCCAACACCGGTGTTTCCATTGGTGTTTTTTCAAATTTCCTTTACTGGTAAATGATTTTTCACAAATTTTGCACAGATGTGGTTGCTTATTCGTATGAATTCGTCGGTGTGTGTTCAGAGTACCTTTTTGCGTGAAAAACTTGTCACAAATATTACACATGTATGGTCTTATACCCGTATGCTTCCATTGATGATTCGCTAAGTTTGCTTTTGTGCAAAACGACATTTTACACTCATCACATGAATATGGTTTATCATTTGTGTGTGTCCATTGGTGTGTCATTAGTGACGCGATAACTGGAAATGCCTTTCCGCATATTTTACATAGATGCGGTCGCTCACCTGTGTGTATTTTCTGGTGTATCACCAGATTACCACTTTGTGCAAACGATTTACCACATACATTGCATTTATGTGGTCGCTCACCTGTGTGTATCCGCCGGTGTACCGCCAGACTACTTCTGTGTTTGAAAAACTTGTCACATACATTGCATGAATACAGTTGCTTACCCGTGTTATTTTTACTGCTATCAGTCAGATTACTCATTTTATAGTCGGCGAGAATATGTAAATTTTCTAAAAAAAAACATCAAACAAAACAATAATTACTGTTTGACAATGTAAAAGTATAGTACACTATTTAAATGTGATTTTATTTGTGTATTTACATTAATTCACATTTCGATCATTTTTAAATTTATTTTTACCCATATATTGACTAGTTGATCTTTTAGCTAATTATTTTCAATACTTAATTTAGAACAATTATTTATGTATCGATAGAGCTTCCTATAACAATAATAAATTCACTATGAGTATTAAACAACATTTTCATAGATAACAAAAATCTATGTAGTAATTAAGTATACTGATCTTAATTATGCTTTAATCTTCGATAAATATAAATAAAAAAGTAGTTATTTTTATGCAAAAACATATTTTCTGAAATCCGACTCTTCTCTCTCTTTAAAAATTAATAATAAAATAATAATTTCCAATAAAAGTCTTTAGTATTTGCTCAACTGTACGTTCCAAGTAAATCTTAAAAAATATTATAAAAACAAACTTATTTTTGGTTGATTTTTGTTTATATTTTGTTTATTTGAGCAAATACTTAAAATGGAACATGCAATGTAATGAGTCAATAAATTATATAACATAGTTTTAATTTAAACTTTAAATCAAATTACTTTTATTTTACATATTTTAATTATTTTCAAATTTTTAATGCTTAAATGCTAATGATAATAAAATTATAAATGCATGCATATCTCATACATTTTTGAAAAATTCCCAACTTTTAACATTATAACTCTCAAGACCAAACTATTTTTTTAGTATACATAAATAAAATTGTAAATAAAAAATTATTAACAAAACTGATATAAAGGTATTTAACTCCCAATGACAAGTAGGTACATCTGAAATCTATGCTTTATTTATTTATTTTATTGTTATGTAGATGGTCTCGTTAATGTTATTTAATATCGTTGTTTAGTACTCGTATTATAAAAACGTTGAATCTATCTAATGTTATCTGGATATTAAATAAATACTTATGTTACTCAAACATTTCTAGTATTATGTCACACACTCTGCTGCAAAAAAAATATAAATTTAAACGGTATTGCTCTTAATTTGTATACTTATATCATAGAATATCATAATTATATACGTTTTAGCTTGAATAATATTTTTTACTTCATTAATTTTTGAGATATACAAAAAATAGTAAATACCATGCAATTAAATTGATATTGTAATTTCGATAGATGAATAGATAACGTTATTAATTTACCTATTGTTGAAATTTATTTTTTATAAGTATAAATTGACACGTCCATAAATATAGTTATAATTTATAAAATATGCATAAATATAATAATTTAATACGCATATATTCGTTTAATATAGAAATACTTTACAAATTCTTGCTTAAATTAAAAGCTGGTCGATTAATAAATCATTTTTACAATAAATTACAGTAAAACCTTGATTAATCGAAAAAGAACTACGAATTACACGAATATCTTGAATTTTTAATATGGATACCTAATGATGTGGTATTTAAAATCAATTAAGAAAACGCCATTTATCCACAAATATGTAGACTCTATTTTACTAATATAAAACATGGCAAATATTCGTTCAGCGGAATCCATATAATGCTATTTTAATATTAGAGTTAATTTACCAATCATCAAACTTAAAAGTAAAACTAATCACTAGAGCATTTTAATTTTAAGTGAGTTATGATCGTTTTTAAGTTTTTATATTTTACATAGCTATAAAAAAATTAAAATATCAATAAAAACCGACGAGATGATCTAGACAATATTTATACCTTTAAGTTTAATCATATAGATAAATTGACTCTAAACTAACAGCATAAAATGGATTACGCTGAACGAAAATTAGGTATGATATACGTACATTAATAAAACAGGGACAATACGCATGCGGCTACAACGCGATGTCCTCTTAACTAATACGGTAATATTTTCTTGAACATTTTGATAATTTAAATTTAAAAATTTTAATATTATTTCAATTATCATGATTTATTTTTTATTTTTTTTTTGTTTCATTTGGTCAAGTTCCATTCGGTATTGTCAATTTTGATCAATCGGTTATGTGTAAAAATTAATTTTAAAATATATAATGTGTAAAACCTAATAATATTGTTCGAATTATAATAAATAAGTATATTGTCATGTAATTTAATATTTAAGTCAATTTTTTTTTATATAACTTTTAACTTTTCTAATATAAATCAAATCATTTATAAGTATATATTTATATTTTAGAGCAGTATAATATAACTGTAGTCAGTCTTAAACTTTGAAAATGGTTTATGATGGAAAATTGGATTTTGTTCACTAATTGGTGATATTATAGGATTAAAATATAAATGAAATTCGAAGTGTTCTTTAAAATAATTGGTAAAATACATATATTAATTAAAAAAAATAGGTAAAATTTTTACCAGTTTTAGATAGTCGATTTCAATTTTTTGCTTTAATTAAAAAAAAAATTCATTAATTTTTTTCATTTTTGCCAAAACTTGTTTAACACTTTCTAAGTGCGATAATTTTTATAATTTTAAAAATATTTAAATTTTTATGTAATTAAATTTTTTATTTTTTATTCAGAAACTTTGATTATTAAATGCTAATTCCATGTAAGTGGTTTTTACAGATATTCAAAAATATTAAAAATACAATATAATAAATGTTAAAAAGATAAACAAGTGAATACCACTCTACCGTACATTATGCGTCAAATGAGTCATTGTGATGTTTATGTTAAATTTAAATTTAATAATATCATTTACTACACTATTAAATAAGATTAACGATTCTGAGCAGAGACCATCTATTAGCCTATGTAACAAAGTAAATTTTATCATATTTATAACTATTAAAGTGATTTATTTCACTTTAGTACTGATTATATTTTTCCTGAAAACACTGCGTTCATTAAATTAATTTAAATTACATTTTAAAATAATTGAGACCATTATTTTTTATATTCTTTAATTGGAAAATAAATAACATAATATATAAGAAATTTTATATGAAATCTAACGAGTATTTTCATCCTTTCATAATTTTTTTATTAATATTATAAAAAAATATCGAAAATCTCAACTGCCTATAAATAACTCAAAAATTCAAAATTTTAAAAATTGTATAATATATATAAATCATAATGTATAAAATTCAAAAAATAAATTATTAGTAACCTAACCTAACCTACCATTTTATCATATAAATAAATTTTAAGGACTGACACGTCATCTCCATTCAGTTAAACTTAAAGCCTATTATTTAATGGCGTGACATCCTCGCTCATTTTTTTTACATCTAAAATATGGATAAGTTCTATAATATATTCAAAAAAGTTATTTCGGATTATACTAGCTTAAATTTAATTAGTTATATTTTTAATTAATTATCAATTTTTTTTAAATTAGAGATTATGTTAAAATTCAGCTTTACATGATTTACCGCTACCGCAGTAACATTACCAAGACGATATAATTTTAACACCACCATTGCAAGGTGAAGTCGTGAGGATAAAATAATTGAAAATAAAAAAAATATGTCTTACTTTTATCATTATGTCGTAAAATCCATCGATGTCATTGTTCTGTTCTGAAAACTATCAGTTAAGATATCGTTACGAGATCTGGTCTGCTTGTGTCTTATTGAACGAAAACGACGAAAATATTGTAGACACCGTAACAGATAGCAGATTACTTTTAAAAATTTTTACCGGAAGTGGAATGAAATACCACTGGCGCTAGTTCAGTACTCAAAGTAAACACTTTGATAGAACCTCAAAGATAAGCTTAACGTGCAAATTTGCTTGTCAAAAATAACAAATAATTATGTATCCCCCCCCCCCCACTGCCGGCAACCGGCATCACTGCTCATAACACCTGTTAATAATGTTGGTACCACCAGTTTCGCTACTGAAGTACTGTATACAAGGAGAACAGAACCGACGAAAGAACAATGTAGAAAACAAACATTTCCGACTACATTACAATTTGGAAGACAGATGATCCGGCAACGCTTAGAGGTGCATTTTAATGACTAATGACTAGGGCTCGGAAGTTGATGCATTTTGCATTTTTTTTTGGAACTTTTTAGACGATGCTCTCCTGGCCACTAATCTGTTTCATAAGCATGTGAATCTAAATAACTAATTTTTATTTTACATTTTTTTTTTTTTTGCATTTTTTGGTGTTTATTACTTTTTAAGTCATTTTTTGAGATTTTTAGGTCATTTTGCCACATTTTTAGTTATTTTTTGATTTCACACTAGTTCATTTCTTATCGTTTCTTGTTGACCATTATGCCGATAACCACAGACATTTATAAAACAAATATTTTTAATTTTTTAATTTTTCTATTTTAAGGACATTTTTTGCCATTTTTATGGTCATTTTTTATTGTTTTTAAGGTCATCAACTTCCGAGCCCTACAGTAATGACTAATGAGTGAAAGTGATGTATTCTAATTATTTTTATTATTAGTCTCAGATAAACAAAATAATACTGTATATACCTAAGTTCTAAATATACCTATCTTTCTAACCTAAATTAAAGTATTGGTATAATCCTTTGTATTCCAATGCGTTACCAAATTGTGTAACGTATCAATATATTTATTAATAAATTAATTTATTTATTAACTAAATTAGCTTAGTTATATAGTAGACATACTGATACTATTAATTAGTAATTATTTGTTGTTAATAAATATATTTGATTCTGAGGCTTTCGGAATGAGCTATGTCCTTAGCATGTTTATAATGAGCATCCATTATATATATGTAGTGCTGTAATTATTTATAGATTGAGATATATTATTGATTTTGATTTAAGCAATGCTATTATAATATAACTAAATATTTTTCTGAATATTTTATATAGTTGAATACTAGACGAATTAAAGAACATTTTTAAGATATGTCCTTGAATGTCAACATAGTATAGTTTTATAACTGATTTACCTTTAAAGTTAAATTCGAATTTGA